GGTTGTTCACATTTTTGCTTCTCCCTCTGGCTTGGGGAGCCGCCGGGAAGGGGCCCGCCAGGGTGGGGGGGGGACGCAGAGCACTCCAGGGGCAGGTCTCAGCTGCCAGCCTTGGGACCCTGCTGGAGCCCGGGGCAGAGGTTGGGCCAGGGGTCCCCAGTCAGGGCTGGAGGCACACGGCCTGTCCCTGACACTAGTGACTCAAGACTAAGCAGACCCACATCCCAGAGACTCCCGACTCTGGGGCTTTGGACGGGTGATACCTGAAGCCCTTTGCCGGACAGCGGAACTAGCATTTGTTGGACTCATTACTGCACACAGCTGTGACCCAGCCGGAGGGCGAGACAGCACAGGGTGGGAGTGGCTACCAACAGGGGGCACCAAGACAAAGTGTGCCTGCCATGCCCTCGCCTGACTACTAGGTGGGAGCTGTGGGCTCAGATCCCTTCCCTGCCCCCGATCTCGGGCACCGTGTGTCTGTGCAGCGACCGGGGTAGCACAGAGAGCCTGGAGCACTGGGCCTGGGGCAAGATTTGAGGCCTGAACCAGAGGCTGCGAACCAAAGTCAGGCCGTGGGTTAAAGCAAATGCTGACAAGTTTGCTGTGCAGTTCAGGTACTTGGCAAAGTTGTCGCTAGTGTCCTAGGCACTAGAGATTTACGTAAATATAGCTTAGCTGATACAAATACAGTTCACTTTTGTGCAAAATAATGAAGAGGGAGGTTTTGTCCAACCAGGACAAAAGGACCCAGAGGAGGTAACAAACGAATCTTGTGACACACGTAAGCTGGGACACAAGTTGTTTGTCTCAGTCTATTACTCTCGGGTACCTCGCTGTCACCCTTTGTGTGGCCCAGGGGACAGCGGTGACTCCCGCTGCTGCCTGAGCCGCTCCTTGCCACGGGGCACTCGTGTTAGTGAACCTGTAACCATGGAGCCAGGGCAGTAGGACTGTGCCTTCAGGGCAGTGAACCTGGCTGAGGGCCTTTGTCACCAGACCAGGCTGTGGTCTTTCTTTCTAAGTACCATTGACGTCTGCTGGATTCACATGCTGCCTTGTCTGTTATTAGTGTTGATAACATCGGAGCTCCAAGAACAGAAGCACCGGGCAGCCTAAACAGCGTTAGTGGAAAACGACATTCCAACCTTCAGCACTTAACAACACCCGGTGAGATGGAGCCCTGATCTCAGTCACTGTGTGTCTGGGCAGCGCCCGGCACGACGGGGCCCTGATCTCGGTCACTGTGTGTCTGGGCAACGCCCGGCCCAATACAGCCCTGATCTAGGTTGGGACCTCCAGGTGCTCCCTTAATGCCCTGCAGTTGGAGTTCAGGGGAGCTGGGGCACACAATGTGTCTGGATCGGTCGGAGCAGGAAATGGTGGCACGGACGGTGGCTGACGTGCTGTCCCCCCGCTGCGGCGTTCCCCAGCTCTCCAGGCCGGGCTGTGCTCTGTGCCCAGCCTTGCCCAGGATGGGATGAAGGTTCTGCCCCTGGGATCGCGCTGCCAGGCCAGAATCGCTCCCTCCCACTCGGACGCAGTCTGTCGGCCCTGGTGCTGCTACAGACCCCGAGCCCTGCTGCAAGAGCCCGGCTTGGTCTTCAGCAACCGCAGCCCCTGGTGAAATCCCCCCAATCGTTCCTCTGCGGTGGCTGGGCTCTCAAACAGCATCGGCACGATTATTTATTGACCAACTACCTGGCCTCACCACACACACACACCCCCGTAGCCCTCTCAGGCACTTATAGAGAGGAGCAGGTGCTGGTGCCCAGAGTTCACTCTCCTCCCAGCTCTGCAGGAATCCAGGTGGGCACATGCCAGCCCCCCTCTGCACCCCACAGGGCGCCAGTCTCCATGGAACACCTCTGCCCCCAGCCCGGCTCTTCTCCCCACAGCCCCAGCTGGGCCGGCGTTAGTACAGCCGGGGCAACGCCGAGGCAGCTGCTGCTCAAGGGGCTGCCATGGGGACCCGGGGAGCTCGGGGGGGAGGGGGATCTAGGCAGGGCTGGGATTCTGCCCTCAGGCGACAGGCTGGGCTGGGAGCCCGGGGCAGCCTGAGCGCAGGAGGATCTGCTACCCAGGGGCTCTGGGGGTGTTTGGCTCCGGCCCAGCATTGCCCCTTTCTGCGGGTGTCAGGCCGGCTGTGACCGGTACATGTCCCCACAGGGCTGAGCGAGAGGACGAGGATGCTGCTGACGTGGGTTATGTGGTTCTCAGCGCTCTGCGCCGCAGCACTCGGTGAGTTCGGATCCCCCGGGCCGGGGAAGAGGGCAAGTCTGGGAATCCCTGACGCAGCTGAGAACGGAGGGAGCAGAAACCCACAAGTGGGAAATTAATGATGGAGACGCCCGACTAACCTGTCCCCTGGCCTGGCACCCAGGGCAGGACCTGCCCCTGCAGAGCCGAAGATGCCCATTCTCCGTCTAGCCCATCCCTCCATGAGGCAGGGCTGGGTCGTCCCCTGCTGCCTGTTCCCAGAGCCCTAGAGTTCATCAGTCCAAGGGACGAGGACCCTCACCCTACCCACGGGGAGCTGATCCTAGAGCGTCACACACCTTTGCTGGATCCTGCACTTGGCCTCAGTGTCATCCTGTGGCAGCGAGTTCCACTGGCTCATTTTCCACAACGAGCCTTTTCTCAGGGTCAGGTCCAGTTCCTGGGACATCGGGCTCGATCCTTCACACCCCGTCTCTGAAGGGACCTGGCAGGAGGGACAAAGGGCTCAGCAGTGGGAGACAACAAGCACCAGGGGCCCGGAGAGCCTCCCGGATGCAGAGAGAGGAGAAAGGCTGCACAGCGGAGGGGACAGGCTGGAGGGATACAAATGACCGGAGGGGGCAGAGGAGACCAACGGGCACTGAGCCGCACACCCTGGGCGGGAGCTTCCCCAGCCCGGGGTGAGTTCAGAGCACCAGCCCCACCTGCCATCTCCAGTCCAGCCCTTGTTTGGCCTCCCTCCAGCCTGGCCTGGCTCCCCATTCGCCCCTTTACTGCCAGCGGCGGATGCTGCTGCATGGCGAGCAGGCTCCTGGCCAGGCCTCTCTCCAGTCCCGTCACATTTAACGCAGGGCTGCGCGTCCTCCCTGCGCCGTGCACGGCCTTTGCTGGCCCCACCCCCACCCCATTGCAGCGGCCCCACTCAGAGCACCAGCCCTGGGCCCGATCCTGCTGCGTGGGCTAGGGCAGGTGGGGGGCACCCACATTAATCCAGCCCTTTCTCCCCTCCCCCACATGGCACAGGCTGCCCCACCATCATCACCCGCTCCCAGTGGGGGGGCCGGGCCCCAACAAGCAGGACCCAGCTGAGCACCCCAGTGCCCTACGTCATCATCCACCACACGGCAGGGACTTCCTGCACCTCACAGGCCTCCTGCAGCCAGGTGGTCAGGGGCATCCAGAACTATCACATGGACTCAAACGGCTGGTCCGACATCGGCTACAAGTGAGTGGGGGCAGGGCGGGGTGGGGTGGAGGCTTCCCCACAGCTATGGGGGAGACTCAGGGCCACTGCCCCCAGGCAGCCACAGGGGGGCAGCAGAGACTACACTCGGGGGAAAGCTGGGGGAGGGATGGAGTCTCCATAGAAGAGATTTGATTTTTATATTTAATATTTTTGGCTGAAAAGAGGGAATTGGGGAGGGTGTGCTCCGAGCCCCAGCTATGGTGGGTGGAAATGGGAGGGCACAGAGCGCGCCTGGCATGGGGTGAGAATGGGACCCTGGCATAAGGGGAGGGGGGTGGAGGCACAGAGGCCTGGCAGGGAGAGATGGGGGGGCTAAGGGAGTCCCTGAAGAGCGGGGGATGGATGGGAAGGGATCAGTCATGTAGCTGGTGCGGGGATGGAGGGCCACAGGGAGCCCCTGGGTTGTGCCAGGAGCTTGGCCGACAGACGCCGCGTGGCCTGCGCCCTGCTCGTCTGTGACACCGCCCCGTGCTGGCGTTACCAACGCCTTTCCCTGGGGCCGGCCTGACACCCCGCAACGAAAACCTGGCCGGTGATTTTTCTCCATGAAACGTTTTGAGATGGCGACATCGGGGGATGGAAACCCAGCTGGAATTTACACGCAAGACAGCGGGTCCCAGCGCTGTTCTCCTGCCCCACATCTGGGCCGGCTACAGCCCTTGCTCGCCCCCCAGCTGGGTCCAGGTGGGGCCCAGGGCTGCTTCCATAAGGGGTGTTACACACAGCGTCACCTAATGGCCAAATAGTGCCATTCAGGTTAGCCCCCCTCCCTCCCCGCCAATCCAGTCCCTTTTTCTTCAGTGAGTTTTTACCTCCATGGTAGAGGATTGAGCTTCTAGCTCCGAGGGTCCCAGGTTCAAACCCAGGCAGGGCCAGTGACGACCCTGGGGGAGCTCCCGGGAGCGATGGGGAGGGGAGGCTGCGGCTGACGTGCCTGTGCGGGTCTCACACTGCGCTCTGCCTGCAGCTTCCTGATCGGCGAGGACGGCAGAGTCTACGAGGGCAGAGGCTGGAGCAGCGTGGGGGCCCACGCCTACGGCTGGAACAGTAATTCGTTGGGCTTCAGCTTCCTGGGCACCTTCTCCAGTACGTGGGTCCCGTCTGTACGGATTTCCCCAGCTAGGCCCCGAGGGGAGCTGGGAATCCCTCCTGCAGGGCTCCCGCCCACAGCTGCTCACCCCTGCCAACCTGACACCCGGGGCATGGGGCCAACCCAGCTGGCCTCACCACCATCCCGCTGGGCTGCACCGTTGTCAAGCTCCTCCTCCGTGGGGCAGCGGGTTGGGGCACGGGGCCAGGAAAGGGTGGCGAAGGAGAGGGATCTTGGCAAATGCAGGAGGGGGATGCAATACTGAACGCAATGCGTGGGGGAGGGAGAGTGACACTGACGTGGCCAATGGAGAGCGTGGGCAGAGGGGGGTTATTTATCCAGGCCACAGTCACATCCCCTGGGCAGCAGAGAGGGGCCGAGGGCCAGGGTGAGATTAACAGGGGGCTGTTCTGTCCTGCAGGCAGAGCCCCCAACGCTGCTGCCCTGAACGCCGCCAAGAGCCTGATCCAATGCGCCGTCAACAGGGGCTCCCTAAGCAGCAGCTACACCCTGAAGGGGCATCGCAACGTGAGCCAGACCGACTGCCCCGGGAACGCCCTCTACAATATCATCACCCAGTGGCCCAGGTTCAAAGCCTGAGTCCCTGCAGCCTCGGGGCAGCCCCTGCGCCCATCACTGACCCCGCCTGCGGCTTCTGCCTGCCCGAGCAGCACCTCCGCCCCCCAGCAGGGGGCAGCCTCCCACTTCTCGCCCACCAGCCTGGGAAGGACCCGTCAGGTGGTTCGCAGAGTCCCACAAAGGGGTTTTTAATTCAAGTGCGATTTGCCTCTAACCCAGCGCCCCTGCGGCTTAGCGCTTGCTTTGCTTGGGAGCGTCTGAGCAGTGACAATAAACCAGCTTCTAACACATGAAAAGTTGAAGCGCCGTGAATCATTTCATCTCCTGTTAAACCATAACCACCCCCCGCCGCTGGGCTGGGCTCTCTTCCCAGGTCCCCCTGGCTGTCCCCAGCCGCTCGTCGCTCTCAGCTGCAGGGTACCGCGGGATATGGCCGGTGCCCGCTATCCCGGCTCTGGGCCCGTGGCTCCCCCTGCAGCTTGGCCCTGGCTCCCCATTGGTGCGGCTGGTCTGTGCTGCCACAGCTCCCGGCTGCTCCAGCCGAGCTCGGCCCCCTGGCTCTGGCTCTCCTCTGCCCCCAGTCCAGCCTAGCTCCCCTTAACTCTGCCCTGCTCTGCCTCAGGCAGCTCCAGCTCACACAGAGGATGGGCCCCTGGGCTCCTGCCTCTCTCATTGGTCTGCTGCCCTGTCATTTGGACTAACATAGAGTGTTGGCAGCTCCCCATTGGCCCTGGGCACTGTCAATCTGAGATCCTGATTTCACTTCGGCCCTTCCCCTTTCTCCTGGTGTTGGAACAGGGCAGAGATTGTTGGGGTGGGCAAAACCAGATTCCTCCACCCACTAGCTAAAATCCATGTGGTGTGGGAAGATTTGAAAAGTGTTTTGGAAAGTAATGGAACACCCCCTAGTTTACCTGCTTCTTGGGAATAATGTTTTCCGGGTAGCTTTGGGTTAAGGTATTTGCCCGCAGCAAGAAGGAGTTTTATGCTGTGACCCCCGAGGGAAAGGGTAAGGTCACAGGAACTGCTGAGGGAATGGAAGAGAGTCTCCTTGATTCTTCTACACCTGGGGAAAGCCACATGTTTCCAGGTGGGAGGTTGGTTGAGACCAGCTCCTGCAATGCAGCTGTAGGCAACACCACCTCAGGAAGGGATGGGGGTGTAATGCCTGCCAGGGAGAGAACTGTCCCGGCTGTTAGCTGCCAACAGGTGCACGTGAACCAGGGACAGATCCCACTCTAGGGACCATAGGGAGAGGTGTCCCAGAGGGGAGCCCAGAGAAGGGGGATGGGATGTTGGAAACTACTGAGGTGGGTGACGATTCCTGGAACTCTCTAACACAGGGAAGCAGGGTGCTTCCAAATATGGGAGGGGCTGAGACTAGCTCCTTTCCAGCAGAAGGCAACACGCCCTCAGGATCTGGGGCAGGAGAGGTGTTGTCAGTGATTAAGGAAACTGTCCCAGTTGTTAGCTAGCAGAGTTCTGCAGCTGAAGAAGGAACCCACCCCATTCTAGGGAGCACAGAGATGTGTCTGAGAGCGGGGCCCAGAGGAGGAAGCTGGGGAAGGAATAGTGGGAGGACAGGAATGTCTCCTCATTGGTCACTCGGGAGAGGATACCCAGGACCGAATGGCTGAGTCAGCATCTGTGCACCTAGGGAATTGTGTAACCGACCTCCTTGTGAGGAGCAGTCACTCAGCTGACTTCTCAGGGACAGAGAAAGGGGTGATGGAGGATCCTCCATTCCAGGTCCCAGTTTTTCAGGATGCTATTTCTGATCAGTTTTTGGAATGTAACTGTGAATCTTTAAACCAAGATGTAGCGCCTGGGACAGCAGAGGAGTTGGGACCAGAAAATTGCCAGGTGGTGGTTTGTGAGAATGCAAATGACCCAACAGATGGAGGTGGGGCTTTCCCCAGGCTGGTGAGACACAGAAAGCAGCTATGGAAAAACTGCTGGGAAAAGGTACATCTGATCAAAGAGTAAACACACGTAGCCCAGAGAGCACAGATCCCAGCCCGAAAAAGGGGGCAGGGAAAGACTCGGTGCTGGGAGGGGGAAACACAGGGTAACCCCAACAAGGAAGCTGGATTTTTTTGTATATGTACAGTCCTGGAGTTGGGAGACAACTCCGCAAAGCGCCAGCCAATGTGCAGGATCCCCCTGGACATCCCTTGCCAGACCCTTACGTACCAAAATCCCAGAAACAGGATTAAACTAAGATCCCACACAGAAGGGAACACTGGAGGGAAAGAGAAGCCAGTGACTGATTACATGGGAGGGAATCAAATGACCCCATGGGTGATGGGCAATCCTTCCTCAAACCAGACTGTCTGAACAGAGGCCGCGGTATCATAAAGACACTTGTAAACGCCCATCTGTGATACAAATTTTGGTATTAATGTTAAGTCTTGGGAGAAGAATGTTGATACTGATGTTACACCTTGTGATAAGATACATTATGCACAATTTTTGGGAAGAACCTTGGGACATGGTAATTGGGAAATGGTAATTGGGAACACCTATAATATTAAGAAACCTCATGACAAGACTGCTTCTCAGTTAATACCTGTAAACAGACTTAAAGCTTACCTCAGCAAAGAAACCATAACAAACCTGGTGTGGTGTGTGTAAGGGTAAACTGAGGCACGCCCCCTCATGGCCTTGATGGCTGGATGCCAATATAACTATAATGCAAAAGCCTTCGAGTTAGTCAGTGACTAACCCTCTTGCAGTAAACTAATGGGGGGGGGGAGATGTGACATTCTATACTTTGGGGGAGCATCCTGTAACCCCCATATTCCTCATTTACATATAATTGTGATCTTGCATGTAAAGCATACCATATAAGGTATCAAGGAAAGTCACTGTTCTATCTAAATATGTAGATCATTAGTGCATATGAAGTGATGAGATTGTGTTGTATGGTTGACAGTAAAACATGCTGTAAGTTGGGGAATCAGGCAGATATTAGCTCCCCAGAGACAACAGCAAGGAAAGTAACCAACTCCCGGGCAGGTGTCAAACAACCATCAACAGCCAGCCGAGGTTACGCAGTTAGGATGAACTGCAAAGAATGGGGCAGACAAAACCCCAAAGCTGGTGGTTATTTCAATACTTAGATTTACCAGGCCAGCACTAAACAGCTTCTGTTATACCTCACTGGTTACTCAGAAGTCTGAAAAACAGTTCCCTTCAAGTAACCCAGCCTCAATCCTCCACTTAGTTACCCAAGTCAGATATGATGAAGATTAATGAAAATCTTATTCACCATATAAAAGAAAAGGTTCTACCAATCCCAAAAAATCAGACACGTTACCTTCCATGTTAATGAATATTCCAGATCTTACCCAAATACACGCTTACAGCCAATTCTTATCTGAACTAAAATGTATTAAAAAAATAAAAGAGAAAGAGTACGGTTAAAAGATCAATATTCATACCGACATGAGTTCAATTATTGAGATTCAGATACATAGCAGAGCTGGTGAGCTTTGTAGTTGCAAAGAGTTCCTTTAGAATTTAGTCCATAGGTTATAGTCCAATGTCCAATATCATAGGGTGTTTCCAGCTGAACTGGGACCTCAATCTTGCAACTCAAACTTTCCCTGATGAAGCTTAAGCAGATCTGAGATTAAAAGGACTGGGACCCAAGGATTTTTTATACAATTTCAAGCCTTCTTCCACAGGTTGGAGTCCCTTGGGGAACAATAGGCCCTCACTTCCTAAGCATCATTGTTAATTATTCACACAGATTAACATAAGGCAATTGCCTGTTTTTCACCATTCAGGGATGATTGGCTATACATTGGAAAGGGAGGCGAATACAGTGGTATCCCGTGTTTACAGTTCATTGAAATGCTAGGATGTTCTTTTGATCTCAGAATTAACCGAATACAGCATAGACAGGGGACTGTTGATTACATTGTTGACCACTACTAATATATATGTAAATACATAAAAACACAAACATTATCTCCCCATATGTCTTAAGGGTTGCATTTGAGTCATTCATCCTGCAGGACTCTTAACCCTTTCTGGTCATGCATCACAAAACCTATATATTAAGGACTGCAATATCCAGTGGGGTGAGAAGAAACGTTTAATCTAGATGTTGCCCAGTGTAGCAGGGTACTTACCCGCTCCTGCCCTGCGGGGCTTGAACCAGCCCAGGAGAGGGCTGTGGCTGGGGCAAGAAGCCCGGGCTGATTGGGGAAAGTTGGCTCAGCTGTGGCCATGCCCCAGTCAGGCCCAGCTGGCCCCTATAAGAGGCTGTGAGCCAGAAGCCCAGTCAGTCTCCCTCTGCTTGTAGAGGGAGAAGGGCCTGGCTGCAGGGAGCTTAACCAGGTGCCTAGAGTGGAGCAGGGCTGGGGAAAGGACAAGGGAGCCGGGGAGCTCCGGCCTAGGAAAGCCCCAGGCTGCAGGCCTAGGGTAAGGCCAATGGGGCACTTGGGTTGCAGGAGGCAGCTCATGGGTAGGCAAGGCAGAGGCAGCAGGTCCAGATCCCCCTTGCCTGTGATGAGTGGCTGATACACTGCAGTTTGCCCCAGTGAATGGGGGTTAAGTGGTGACTGGCAGTAGCCAAGACTGAGGCAAGGTGGGGTAACAGGTGGGGGTTCCCCTGGGAGGGGAGACCCTGAGATTGGGGTTTACTGCCAGAGGGGGAGACCCCAGAGAAAGGGGCACCGGGGTCCTGGGAGGGACACAGGGCCAGCGGGAAGGTGGATCACTGGCCTACAGAGGGCGCTCTGACAGCTGGAGAGCTAATTCCCGTGACGACCAGCAGGAGGCGCCGCAGGGGTGAGTCCGCACAGTTACACCCAGTCTAATAGGGTTGAGCGTTTAGACTGCGTGCTTATATTTTATTTTCCTTTGGTAACTAACTCTGACTTTTTGCCTATCACTTAAAATCTATCTTTTGTAGTCAATAAATTTCTTTGCCCATTTATCTTACCAGTGAGTTTGCCTGAAGTTTCTGGTAAATGGCTCAGGTTACAAAGCCTGGTGTATCTCTGCTTTCCATTGATGACGTGGTGAACCAATTAATAAATCTGTATTGCTCCTCTTGAGCAGTGCCAGACGGTCTATTCCTGAGGTACAAAGCTGGGAGCTGGGGAGGATTTGGCTGGTGCCTCTCTGATTCGTGAGTGGCTCTGGGAGAATTTCTGCAATCCAGCTGGGTGTGGGGCTCCACATGCGGTTGTGCTGAGTGATCACAGCGCCTGGAGGGGCTTGAGGGAAAACACCTGGACCTGCTAGAGAAGTAGAATCAGAACCCACTGACCCCAGCGATTCC